AGTAGCAATCAGATTTGGAGTGCCATGGATCTGAAAAACCTACAATGCCTCAGAATATAGAATTGTGTAGTACAAATACAGAACTACCTTCTGGAGCCAAGTGGCATGGGGGAAGAGAATCTTAAGGCAAATGGAAGCATCTGTCTGCTTTGGTTGAAAGTTGTGTTTCAGGCATCTCCAAAAGTCCCATCAGAAGTAACAAGTGCATGTCCTGAGAGTAGATTAGGGTCCAGTCTAGTAGATTAGAGCCTGGATTGTCATCTGAGCACAAAAAACTATGAAAAGATGCAGACATGCTGGCAGATAACATTGAGAGCACTGAATCTGGCTTCAGGAACTAGACTTTTGTCCTGGAAGTGAATACAGAGGAGCAAGATCCAGAGAGAGTAAAGCAGGGAACTAGTCAGGATAGAATGGTGTTTTACATATCAATCTATCAAGGTAGGGACAAGTTACAATGGAGTAAGATCAGAAATCAATTACCTGACCTCAGTCCCAGGAACAGATCCCAGCTATGAGTCAGAATGACTTGAAGCTGAGATCACAGGGTTCCTGGATATGGACTTCATTTTGCTGAGGGTCAAGATTAGTTCCAGAGTGAAGAGCAGGAAGTCACCTGTAGATGTCTGTCAAATCACTAGATAAAGAGTGAAGAAGAAGTATAAGAAAAGTAACTGAGAAGTCCACATCCAAGGAAACTGGGTATCAATGATTTTTTAAAAAATACATATTCAGAGTTACTTCAATGAAATTCTTTGCTTTGCTGGAGAGAATCCATACTATCTGTATTTCTCTAGGCACTTTCCTAAGATCAACAGCATAGGTTCTTGAAGCATCACTTTTCTCTCCAAAGTGCCTGGAGCTTTGGACCACAGTAGTTTCTCATGCTAGGAAGGACACAATGAGACATGAATGCCATGAAAGTGGCTCAGGATGTTAGTTGTGCAAAGGCAGGGACCTGTCTGGCTGGTTAACATTGAATATCCAGTTCACTATTTTATCCTTGGAGTTAGTACCTAACAAAAATATCAAACAGAGAGTATTTACCATGTACTAGGTACTGCATA